GTATATTGTAATTTTCCTGGGTTAATTTCCCTCCAAACATCTTGTACTCCAATTTCTTCTATCATATTAAAAAAGGTCTTAGGTAATCTTCTTCTTCCAGTTTTTCCTGTTTTACTACTTTTATAGTCTAATGTTCCATCCATTATTGCATTAAAGTCTCCTACTAAAGAAATATTTTGGTACTCCATTTCTATTATTTTTCTATGGAGATTTTGATAGAATTCTTCCTGGTTATTATTTGGTGCATAGATTACTACTAACAATGTTTGTTTTTGATGTAAGTATATTTCTACCATCACAATTCTTCCTTCTTCTTCTGAATAAATCATTTTAGAATCTATTGTCTCTTTAATATACGCAGCAACACCTCTTCTTTTCTGTTGTGCTGATGTATGATAAAGTTTCCCAATTTTTGGGTATTCCAACAGCTTATAATATTGTTTTTTATATGTGTCTCTTGCAGACAAATTATTTCTATATTTAATTTCTGTAGTTTTCTAAAAATTTTGTTTCTTTTTGATGGGGAGTTTAGTCCATTTATATTCACTGAAAAAAATCCGTTTTCTTTTTCCATTTCAATTATTTATATTTAGGTCCAGTCGATCTCGTGATCCTCTGTTCTCTGGCAATTCCTTCACTCTCTTGATCAGATTTCTCTTTCTGTTCTCCTGTTTGTATAATTACTTCTTCAGTTGCTTCTTCTATTTGTTTCTGATCTTTTCTTTCCTCTTGTCGATGTTGCACTCTTTCATCTAAGAATGCTCGATTTCTTTCATCAAAATCTTTTCCAAACTGAATTCAATCGATATCTTGTATTATTCCAGTTGATTAAAATCCCTTCTGGCATTAACAATGTGAAATTTATGCCTTTTGCAATCAGCTTTCTAGTTAAGAAATGATATTGTCTTCAAGTATCTCTTACTCTCTTTGGCATCTGCTTTAAGATCACAATTTCTTTATTCTTGTAATTGTAATGGTTCATCTCTAACTTTTCTCAGTATTTCACCTCTTGTTGTTTTCTTTATAAATCTTACATGCACTTCTCTGGGTAGTTTGTATTTCCTTCCGTATTTCCTTCCGTAGCTTGAATTCATTCGAAATATTTCATCTATCTCCATTTGCATCTTGCTCTGTCTGCTTTCAAAGCCTCTGCCAGGAGATCAATAATCACAACTGCTATATTTTCTTCTCTGTCTTCAGGGATATTTTGAAATCTTAAGTAGTGTTCTGCTTTCTCCATTTCTAAGATCGCCACTGCTTCTTCTAGATTTTGATTTGCTTGTTCTAATTTTTCATTTTCTTGTATTAATATTTCCATTTTTGTCAATATCATCTGATTTATTTTCCATTTTCTGAATTCTTTGTTCATTTTTAACAATCATTTGATGGTGGACTTCAAATTGTGTCTTTATGTCTGAGATTTGTTCGTTTAATTTATCAAAGTTACTTTTTGTCTCTTCATGATTTTTTTGTATTGATTCTTTAATTAATTTTAATGTAGTTTGCATCTCATTTTGAGCGGTGCTTATTTTCTCACACTGCAACATTGTTTCAATAGATCCCTGGGTTGTTGGGCTAGATGTTCCAACAGAGGGTGCAGAGGAAATCTTTTTCATAAGTCTGGTGAGATTTGATGTACTCATTTTTTCCAGCCAACTATCTTAGGCTAAAATCCAAACCGTAAAAGGAGCCAACTATTTTAGGCTAAATCCAGTATCTCAAGGAGAAAAAACAATAAAACAAACAAAAAGAAAAAAAGCCAACAATCTTAGGCTAAAATCCAGCCAAAAAGAACAAGCCAACTACTTTAGGCTAAATCCAAATCCTCCAGTCGAGTCTCAGATGTAAAATGTCCGCTGTCTCCAAGTAATTCCTGTTTTGGTTATATCCAGAGTCAACAAATATAATGGAAAAAATCTTTTCACTTGTAAACTCATACAAAGGCACTTTGTTTACACTAGATGTTGTTTCAAGGTCAAACATTTTCAGATTCTTTTATTATTTAGTGTTACTGTAGTATCTTCTTTCACCACTAGATGTCCTCGTACACTGTTTTGTCAATATCTGGTTTTAAAAGATTATTACAAAGTTTTTCTTTTAAAAGTCTTTATAGGTTATTTACCCTAGGAATTATATCTAAAAAGTTTTTTTCACATCCTGTAGATTAAGTAGTCTTTCTTTGAGTCAGTCTAAGTTCAATTTTTAAGAGTTCTTTTATATTCCTTAAAATCCTTCCCCCTTCTGTAGTTGCTCACCGCTTTTAACTCTCTTCTCCCGTAGTCCTTCTGGGGTCTTTACTTTATAGCTCTTCCCAATCAAGGGATCAACATTTTTAGGTCCAAAAGGAAAAGGAAAAAAAGCAGGCTCACCCAGTTTCAGCACACTGTTGACAATCAGCTGTTTAGCGGAGCGTTGTGGCTCCTCGCTTTTCTTCCGGCTGGCAACGACTTGGGCTGTCTGGGCTTACCAGGCAGCCTTTCCTCTGTCCTTTTAGAAGATTTCTTCAGTCTGTCTGGACTGACCGCTGTCTGGTCCGAACTCCTGAGGCATCCCTCCTTCTTCATTGTCCCTCCAGGGCAACTTTCTGACCCTTTGGGGTCGCCGAGCAGAATGAAATCGGGCTAAGAAGCCGGAGCCCCAGCTTCTTTCACCCGTCTCGTCAAGCGCTAAACCAGAAGTCTACCTTAAATTAGGTATATCAGGTGTGTACATATGGGTTTTGAAGTTAATCAAAAACATTCAGATTAAAAAGTGGGGAAAATCAATTTTAATACATAAACTTGATCCTAATTAGAAAGAAAATTAGTGAGAAAATTATAAATATAATCCAATATAATCAATGGTGTAGAATAAGTACCAAAAGTAGATAAAGT